GGAATTACTTGGTTTGAGTTAAAACTTGCAGCCGCCAATCTGTCTCCTACCCAGGGTCATAGTCACACCCCTTTGCTCCTAAACTGCAGGCCACGTGAGCGCCATGAATAAAATGTACTTATTATCACCGCGCGTTACGTACTACTGATTGTGAAATTTGGCATCAGTTTTTGGCTTACACACTGCGAACGGCGCCACACTAGTCTCCAACTAACCATCACACCGCAAACCACGAAATAATCTTTAATTCAAACGTTAAAATAACCGAAATGCAATTTCCCGCCGGCATAACCTAAACAACATTTTTCCCGCGCATTCCGCTGTCAAAACTGACAGCAATCGGCTCCTCCCCGCGGTCAAAGACAATGCAGTGCTAATTTTTTATATGTGACCTCTTTTAGGGCTTTGCCCTTTGAAAATTGAAAGTGTTACGATGCGTTAAAGTTTGAAAACGCTCTTTACAGTGTGTGAAAACTTTTTGTATGAAGGAAGACTGCCGTCTGAGATGTAAACTGTATGTGCATAGACAATTGTGTCGTCCAACGTTTGTGATTAATAAATAAACCTAAAAAAACTTTCTAAGTTAACTCTGCAACGGACAATAAAAAACGTTATAATTTAAAGTAACAAACAATTTGTTTTTAGTTGTACAAAGTTTTTGTTTTTACTTTAAGTGGTGTTTTAGAGAAGTTTCCATCTTTAAAATTCTTAGTATTGGCAAAGATATCCCATATTTGGATCCTTTGTATGCCTTCCTACAAAATTTTCAATTTCGAAGTATTTATTGTACTATTCTAAAAAATTGAAATTTGGAAACCTCGTGTACCGACGAACAGACCGTTAACCCGAAAATAAACCCTATTCTTTGGTAAAATCGAAAAAAAAAAAATAAAGGAATAAAGAAAAATCCGCTGAAGGACAAGTTAGTGACCTGTTTGCTAGGAACCTATATGCTCTCTTACTACGAGGCTCTGGTGATTCTAGCATGCTTGACAACGGGCCTGATCGCGCTCGGCCATGAGGTAAATATTTTGCTGCATTTGAACCACCTTGACATTTAAACCACGTGATTACATACGTAATACTCTAATGAGACTGTAGATAAGCTAATAGACTAGCTTACTGAGATTTTAAGAATCGACCGTCCCTAATTTCATTTTTATGGTCAAAATAAATTTTCTTTGATACTGTCCTACTAATTGCTGAACTCTGAATTGACATAATTCGACTGATGACTAAACAACTAAATAAACCATTTTCTTTCTTTATTTCTGTAAGAGTCCGGTAGAACATCAGAGCACGCTATTGTTTAAGCGCTGGTGTTGGTGTTCAAGTCATAGATATACAGTTAATACTGTCTTGACATTCTGAACTGCTACTGGTACCCAAACTTCAATAGGTCTGTGATCTTCTCTTAAGTTATCATTAAGACCCTTACTTACGTTACAACACCTACGGAACGATGGTGATTTCTTCCCTGTGGTCACAAAGTTTCTCTGGAGTATTACGTACTGTAAATCACGTATAAGGATAGCATATCTATAACCTAAAGATAATAACCAAGGTGTGGATGTCGACGGTGCTTCGAGCCGCGGCCACGCAGCGTCGCGCCGCAGCCCAGTCGAGCGCACCCAAGGCCATCGCAACCACGACTGCCGATTGTGGGAGGGCGAACATATGGGGTCAATACTTACCAGGTGGTTATGGAGATTTGTTCATGGAATTTTGATGGTGGATCAGTTCGGTTGGTGACTTATGGGGATGAGCTTCAGATGGGGTCTAATTTTTGGTTCCTGGTGACTTTTTATCCCTATTTAACTTTGCTTCCGCAATTTTGTCCACGATAATCAGACCAGTGACCTGTCCTTTCTCAAAAATAACTTTTTCATGCACTGGTTAAACCTTCATGAATTAAAAAGCCAAAATGTTCTCCGAGAACTCATTCTTTAATGTTAATCAGACCATCTGTGCTCTGAGATAAGTCCTGAATTATGTCTCTTATTGTGGAGGTGTCCCATTCCTAACTTAGTTAAATCAAGCAAAATAAACAGTGTTTCTGTTACTGCTTCCGAAAAAGGCTTCTGTGATCTGTCAAGTCTTAAGAAATCTAAAGGAATTTCTTCTGCGTTATGAATGAACTTGTTCGCTTATGTTTATGAATTCAATAGTTCTTTTGTCTACTACATTTGCCTTAACTTCTTAAGATGTTGTTTTCTTCCCTTCTCTCTATCAGACTTCACCTCCACACTCCTTTCATATTGTTAGATCCAACCCCTCTTAGAGTCCATCCCATAGCAGTCGTCCCGAACTTGTCAGCCCAAAGTAGTGTTACAAATGACAACAAGAAAGACAGTGTACACGTAGACACGTAGTGACATGTCTACTCCCCCGGTTTCAGAAAGCCAGACCAAGTCAATGTAGACAACTTTTATAGCATAGTAAGTTTCTCCTCCTGTATCAAAGTTATCTTTAAAGTAAATTTAGACTACGACACTACGCCTTACACTCAGGGTATAAGTCGAATGTCTCTGTATGAACACGAGTGTAGTGGGTCAGCCAGTAGACCTCACACGCTGCTCATGAGGAAGAACCCCTTTGTTTCGGAACTAGTAGAGCTTTTCTCAGTATATTCACGTGAGTAACCCGCGATTTTTCGATAATTTACTATGTCTCACGATAGTTATTATAAAAACGCGAGTGTCTGTAATTGGAAAATTTATTGTGACATGATATTGGGGGATACTGTATTTTGCTCATTAGATGGCGCTAGTGTGCCCCTCTCTTTCTTCATCCAATAGGGAATTAGCTAATGTCACACCATTGGACGTTCAATATTTGACAGCTGCAGTGATTGGACATAAATACCTCTTCCGACATTTGCGCCACTTGGTGAGCAAGAACGTGTCGCCACAGCGGTCGTCTTATCATCCGTTATGTGTTTACAGGACATACATGAATGCCTGACATTTATGTCAGGATTTTTGTCGTAGTCTAAACATACCTTTACATTTTGAGACCACCATAGTTAATTTTTCACGTGTATTTATTATTTAGTAAACTTTAAAGTAATTAGAAGTCATTTTTCCTTTTTATTAAATGTGTTCGGTGACTTTTTTCTTTATAAGAGCGGACTCACACGTCACGACAAGTCGCCCAAGTTGCTAACGGTCGCATGTCTCGGCGCGTGGTGTTCAGTGGTCGCGAGCACAGCCGCTACGCGGTCCAGCTCGCGGCGGTGACATTTGCACGGATGGTATGCGATTATGCGGCTAATAGTCGTTGGGTTGTGCTCAGCGTAACTTGGTTGAAAGGGATGCAAAATTGTTTATTTACTATGTACTTCTATAAAAAAAAACAAATTTGTATTATTGACAACGGCATCTAGTAGGTCACAATAATCAATGACTTCTGAAAATCGTTATTGTTTTCCCACCAAATTGAATTTACAAAACTCGACTCCTCTATTCTCGAATATCTAGATTCCTAAACAAAATAACCTTCATACTTAAATACTAAGTTTACTTCTTTTCCAAAGCTATTAAGGCCTATTTAAATAGAACAAGTTACGCTGGGTAACTCCTAAACTAGAGGATGATTTTATACCAGTACGAGACTTAAAAAAAAATCGTACAAGTTTGTGCGTGGTACGACAAATATCTCGTCTGGCATTGAATCACTTGACTGTCGCAAAATATTTGATTTTTCAAGTTTTTTGGATTGATTTAGTATTATTCTGGGTTCGTTTTGACTAACATTGTTTTAGCATGTCAATGGTTGTCTTAATAATTTAGCTATAAAGTTCGTTTTTGTTTACATTGCTCATGAGTGTCCCGTGTGTGTAGTGTTTCCCAGATATCTCGATTCAGAGCGTGTAATCTCTACGATTATTAGGACGAAAATGGGTCGCTATGTCAGATATTCCATTAATAGGTTTTAATTTTTATCACGGAGGCATAAGTTTGAAAATCTATTGAATAAATTTCCGACTTATCTATCCTGGCAGTGTGCAAACGACTGGTATATCTTCTTCTACGGCTTGTAAAACATAAGTTTTGTATGAAATTCCTATCAAATTATACACCTTAAAAGAAAAAAGAGTTACTCCTTCTTAAAAGGTCGGCAACGCACTAGTAACTCATCTAGTGTTGCGAGTGCCCATGGGCAGCGCTGATTGCTTACCATCAGGTGATCCGTCTGCTCGTTTGCCCTCTATCCCATAAAAAATGGCTCCTTAGTTTTGTAGGTTATGGCTAAATGATCCAACAAAGTTTCATGTCACTGGGACGCGCCGGACTTCGGTGTTTCGATGTTTCGCATGGTTGTATCTACTGTAGATCCTGGTGAATAGGAGTTGCAGCGGTTTTTGCAAGTGGTCCCGGACTCTGCCCAATAACAGTCTTTTTAGTTTTCGTTTTAAGTACTTATCTGAAAAACAAGAAGGCATCTGGTAAGTGGCTTCAAATCTTATGTCGGTGAGTTTATTTTTCTTGTACTGAGCGATCGAAATGAGAATATAATTAAATTATTCTATATTTTTCTGAAAATGAGGTTTTACATATGAAACGTCAAAAGTGACAGCTGTCACTTTTAGTCTTGTTTTGACCGCAACGTACGTGTGTACCATAGACTTGTAATTTTGTTTTCTTTTTTGTTTTTTTTTTGCATGCAAAAATAATCACTTACGTTTTTGCTTCTCCGAATCAAATGCCCTTCGTTCCACTTCCCGATGTTTTCCGTTTTATTTTGCAATCGATTGTTGTTACTCTTGAGTTTGTCGTGTATTTAGTGGAACGCATGTGCATAGTGTGATTGTTAAAGTCGCACTGCATTTTTTGTCGCCACGTTTATTACTTTATTTTTTTCGTTTTGACACGAAATTATTGTTTATTTAATTTATTCAGTCCATTTTTGCTATTTTGTATTAAGTTGCGACAAAAAATCGCATGCGACTAAAAATCATAACTTTAAAAAAAATTGTCTAACGTTTATCTGTTTGACAGGAGTTGGCCGGTGGTAAGAGTGGGCCCAGTGGGCTGCGCAGGAGCAGCGAGAGATCCGAATCAGTGTCTGAAGGACGTACGGACAAACATAGTCATACTAGTGGTATGTTGATAAATATTATTAGTTAATTAGGTATTCAATTACATATATACATAACTTCACGCCTGTCTCCCATGGGAGTAGGCAGAGATTATGGAACTATGGGATTTACCCCACAAAAAAGGTGCCATAGTCGTTTCAAGAGACCGTCTCCGCCTTTTATTCAATGTCCTTGATATGTAAATAGATAAAAATCTAGCAATAACAAACCGTTTATCTTTTAAATTTCCAGGTCTAAACGGACTCCGGAACATAGGCAACACATGTTTCATGAACAGCGTCCTGCAATGTCTGTCGAATACCAAGCCGCTGCTGGAGTACCTCTCCGACGATAAATACACGGACGATATCAACACCACGCTGTCTTGTATGAAGGGGGCGCTTATTAAAGGTAAACTTCTTTCTTTCATATATTTATTTAAAACTAGCTTCTGCCCGCGACTTCGTACGCGCAATCACATTTCCCCCCCGTTCCCGTTCGTGATTTTCGGTAAAAAGTAAAAAAAGTATTCTATAAAAAGTATCCTATGTCCGTCTCCTGGTTCTAAGCTACCTCCCTGCCAATTTTCATCTAAATCGATTGAGCCGTTCTTGAGTTATAAATAGTGTAACTAACACGACTTTCTTTTATATATATAGATTCCTTTAAAGTTACATTTTTACCTTAAAGTTACCAGTAGTGGGAGTATGGTCCAAGCTACCGGTGGTTAGGGCTCCAGAGACAGAAACCTCCTCACAATGCGCGCCGTTTCAAGGAGAACTGCCTTCTGAATCAAGCTCTTGACCCAACTGCCTAACGTTAGCCTTCTAAAGTGGTTACACGACTATCGGCACAATGATAGCCGAATCTACATTGCACATGTCGACAACCTCGTGTGCCAAATCAAGATATTTGATTTGTTTATATTATTTAATATTATTAACCGACTTCTATAAGAAAAAACATTAAGATTCTCAGTTAGAGCTATGTATGAATGTATGTTTGTGCGCCGTTATCTCGGGATGGGCTGAACCGACTCTGATGCGGTTTTCTGAAACGTTTTTATTACACTTGGAGACTGTTTTAGTGTATTAATTAACCGATATAAATTAAAAAAATAAAAACACTGAAGTCCGGTGCGTCTCAGGGACTGTCTTGGTTCCCGCAACGAAGTGAATCAGAAGATATTATAAGAGGAGAAGAAAAAAACGACAGTTTCCACTTCTCTCAGTGAATTACTGCAGGAGGCAGAATGAATTAAGTCTAAAGGCACAAAGAAGAGACTGTACAACTGGGTGAAGCCCAGTCGCCAAGCACCACGGAAATTTGACTATAAAACTAAGTGGGTCCTATGTGTGAGCTGTTATATTTGCTTCCAATAATAGGTATGGCAAAAGCGTCTAAACGCACAGAAATTCGTTCTAGATTCCACAAGGTCCGTATAATAAACTACACTTGACGAAACAATTAAATTATTTAACATAATGTTACCTTCATACTGCCAGAGATCACACTCCCAGAGGTGATGCGGGTTTCAGAAAAGTATTTATTACGCTGGCTTAGGAGCTTTAGGCTTTTAATTTTTTAATCGACTTTAAATAAAGGAGATTCTCAGTTTCATCCGAATGTATTTGATCGCGAACCGATTTTAATGTGCTTTGTTATTGTTTGAAAGAGTATAATCATCAGATCAGGATTTGAAGATGGCACCGGACTTCAGTGTTCCAGTGTTTGCATAGATGTATCTACTGTAGATCCTGGTGCACAGGAGTTGCAGCGGTATTGAAGGTTATGGCGAGATTGTCCCAAAAAATTAAGCATTGCCCTTTAATAAACAGCCATTATAATAATGGTTATTTCGGTTCCAGCATTCGGCATAGTTATAAAGGAACTTTGGCGCAGCGGCGAGAAGGACGCGGTGGTGAACACGACGGCACTCAAGTCGCAGGTACAGAGGTTCGCGCCCCGGTTCATGGGATACAGCCAGCAGGACGCTCAGGTAAACTATACCTTATTGCATTCTAATAGTGCCCGCTTTCACCAACACCTAAACCATCTCTTAACTAAGAGTTACTTAGCGTGACGCAGCACCTAAACTAACTCCTGACTTCTACTATTAGGTGTCACTAGGTTGTTGAGAACTAAAGTCTTGTAAAATGTCACATATTTTACCTTAGGGCTTACTTAAAATTTGTGAGAAGTTGGTGAAACTGAACATAAGAGTTATTAAAACCTTCAAGAAGAGAGCATCATCAGACTATAAGTGTCCACTGGCCTCTCACACGGAGAAGGTTTGAGCATCAATCACCACGCTTGCTCAATGCGGGTTGGCGATTTCAAACTTATAATTAGACCGTAAATAAACTTAGAAAGTCGGTGAGGTGTACATATAATTTGGATAAAATTAGATTACACGGTTGGCGCGGTGGCTGGGCAACTGACTGCCGCGCAACGTGTCGTGAGTTCGATTCCCGCACGGGACAATTGTTTGTGTGATCCGCAGATTGTAGTTCCGTGTCTGTGTGTGTGAACTTGTATGTTTGTACACGTACACACGACACAGGGGACAATCCTAGTGTGGGGCAATCTTAGAAAAAAGAAAAGAAAATCACATTTGCCTATTTAATGATTGTTCCTCCTCAGGAGTTCCTCCGGTACCTGCTGGAAGGTCTGCACGAGGACGTGAACCGAGTCACCGTCAAACCGAAACCGATACTCACTGAGATCGATGACAACCTTAGGTATGTACACTCCTGCTTAATTGCTTATTGTTATAATGTGAAGTATTATGACGGGTCTCGGGTTGGAGTCCCGGGTCGGGCAAAATATTACTGGGTTTGTAAAAACTCTCAGTAGTAGCACGGAGTCTGGAATTGTGCCCGGTATATGGCAATAGACTCACCCTTTTACTTGGAACTCATAACATAAATAGTGAAAAGTGAGTGTTACATTGTACAGTGACATTAAGTGCCGTAATGTGCACCTCTGCCTACCCCTTCGGGGATAAAAACTGCCGATGCTGAACATAGGTTTCCCAATGACTTTCAAACTGGCTTTACAAAATGAAATGACGATGACGACAATGACTCTTACACGTCAATATATAAAAATCAGGATAAGTGCGACATTTCCAATCTCTTAGGATTTCCTATCTCTACGAAAGAACTACAAAACAAACTATTTATTGTAACAAGTATATCTCGCTATTCCTAAAATAAACAATTTGTTTATTTATTTATGTATAATCACAACAGTTTAAAACAAAAACCAAATTAAAGTAACTGGACACATTAATAAAATAAACGATGAAATAATAAAACTAGAACAAAATATACACAACGAACCGGAAGAGTAAAACTTATTTAAAAAATGGTAGCAGTCATAAGAAGTCCCTCTCGCAGTACTTCAGGCATTCCGATAAAATCTCCTTCCATCCATTGTTGTCAAACTCAAACTCAAACTCAAAAGCATTTATTTCAATTAAACCATAATTTGGTACTTTTGAAACGTCATCAAATATGAAATAAATAATAGTCTGTCAGTCTGTCCGTCAGTGAAGCTAGGCGCTCGTTCCAAAATGTCGATTCGAGTGGAGAAGAACGAGCAAGAAACTCCATTCGTTACTCTTTAAAAAAAGTCTGTTTTACATTGCTCTGATACATATTCCAATATTGTACACACATGTGAGAATAATGTAAAGACATACCTGACGCAACATACAAATAACAGAACGTACTAAAATAAAAAAACAAAACCAAGAGAAAACAAATATCTTAAGTCTGACATGGTCCTCACATATGTATACTGACAATCCATATCAAATAGTGCTTCTATACAAGAAAAAAATAAATAAATAATAAAAATTGTAATTGTAACAAGTATATCTCTTTCTCTATTCCAGCGACACGGCGAAAGCAGCGGAAGCATGGAGTCGCTACCTGCGCATGGAGGACAGCCGCGTCGGGGACATCTTCGTCGGACAACTCAAGTCCACGCTCCGCTGCACGCACTGCCATCACGACAGCGTCACCTTCGACCCCTTCTGGGACCTCAGGTACTGATACAAGTATAAAACTATAACTATACATATTTGTATTAAGAGGCACGTTAAATATATCAAATCAATTTACATGGTACTTACTGACAAAATTGTACAATGAAGTAAATTGAGCAGTTACAAGTAATGTGGGGGCTCGTATTAAATCGTAAGATTATGTAAGCTTCTCCATCCACCGTAAGCGCGGGCCTGCGGACGGCGAGCATGGGTGGCTCCCCGTCCGACCAGAAACAGACCCGAGCGTACGGCGCCGAGCGGTCCGCGCGCCTCGAAAGAGCCATCAGACCACCATAGATGGGGCCTAACAGGGCTGATGCCGATACGGAGTCGCGGAGAATCTAACTTGTTACCGGGGCTCCGGCTCTTAGTCAGGAGTAGGAACGGGATGGTTTTTAGTCAGTAAGAGTCTGACACTCCCTCTCGCCTCACCCAGGCGGGAGAAGTCATTGGATGATTTTCCCCCACAAAAAATAATATGTAACCTATTATTGGTACTTTCCTTAATCAAAAATACATTATTTCGTCTGTTCAATACAATCAAATATTATAAAACAATCACACTTTCATTAATTGATTTTATGACCAATTTAATTTTAGTATTTTTCCAGTAAATTTTTAAGAAATAATTGTACTGTTTGACGCCAAAAGAACGTGACGTCACAATACACAATCTCGTACAAAATTCAAAGAAAACTGTCGTTTTTGACAGTTTGAAAAAAGTATTGAATTTGACTAGTTGGCAAATAATTATTGGCGTATTTTTAAGGGAAAAATTATTTTTTTATCTACAAAACTTCAATTTTGTGAAATAAACACACAAAGACAAAAGCGTAAAGATATGATTTAATTTTTGTCCTCATATAAAATAAGTATTCTAAATATAATTCTGCATGTTTGTCCGTCCAGTTTGCCGATCCCGTCCCGCACGGGCAACCTGAAGCTGCAGCAGTGTCTGTCTCACTTCACGCGCGAGGAGGAACTCGACGGGGACGAGAAACCGGTAACTTGATGTCTATCGCATACTTAGACATATAGGGTCGGCAATGCACTTGTAACTCCACTATAGTGTTGCCGGTGTTGGTATAGCCGACCTAGAATTTATTGATACCCATCAATAACTTCTAGGTCGGCTATACCACTTTGGTTTAAATATTTCAGCCATTTTATCGTTACTTGTTCATGTATTAATTCCGTTGTTCATAACTTGTTTATTACGATATTAATAATATGGTTGCAAAGAAATATTATTGGAATATTTTTTTTAGGTTGTGTGTGGACTTGTATGTTTGTTAAACGTACACACGACACACGGACATTATACTTTAGGGCAATATTTAAAAATATACGATCAACTATGAAAGGTGTTCGTATTGTATTGTCTTGCTACCTTTAAACAAGCAATTCTTGTATATTACAATGATATCGGAATCGGCTCTATCGATTTCTTGAAATTTTATATCTACGGGGTTTTGGGGGCGATAAATTGATCTAGCTAGGTTTCATTTTCAGTTTTTTTTGTCCGTGTTTTCTTTGCATAAATGTCTTTTTTTAGAATACGAAACTAAATTTGACAATGCATGCTAACAAATAACATTGTTAACATTTCATTGTGTACGAACATGAAATAATTTTGTTAGGGAAAACGGACGCCTTCTACGCAGAACATCCGAGTTCAATCCTCGGTCCGACATAACAACATAACATAACATCACGCCTTTTATCCCCGAAGGGGTAGACAGAGGTGCACATTATGCCACTGTACAATGTAACACCCACTTTTCCCTATTTATGTTATGAGTCCCATTTATTTATTTATTTATTTATATTAATTACTACGGTTACACCAATGACAGCAATTAATTAATTTATTATAAGACCATTATATCAATATTACAAATACACATTCAAATCCATGTCAACATTAAAAGAACCCATGTAATAGGGGGTGAGCCTATTGCCATATACCGGGCACAATTCCAAACTCCGTGCTACTACTGAGAATGACCAGGTACTATATTACTTATGTTGGTGAGTATAATAACAGATGTTGAATGTAAATATTCCAGACGTGTTCGAAGTGCGGTGTCCGCAGAAAGTGCCTGAAGTGGTTCACAGTACAGAAGTTCCCGCAAGTCCTGGTGCTGCATCTCAAGAGGTTCGTACGTCGGACATAAGACATTGAACTTGGTATTTATTATGGTACCAGTTGGTCTCATGTTAGAACCTCTGGCTTGGACCGCCCATTGGTAAACAATAGGGTAGATGCCTAATTTTCATTTTAATGTCCGTCTGATAGATTATTTGGAATCATTAGACACGTATTTTTTATTTTCTTACAGAAACTAATACTTTTGACGATATATTGATTTGAAATGTCGCGTGACGTCACTACTCCTTGTATCTAAGTATTGTAACTTTATACTTTATATATTTATATTTTCATTATCTAACTGACGGACTAATTAGATTTTAAATTTTCATTTCCTGGCAACTACCCTATTTGTCTGTGATTATCTCGCGACTGGCTAAACCGATTTTGATGCTGTTTTCAGTAATATTTATGAAATTACTTACATGTATGTTCCAGGTTCTCCCCGACGGAGCGTTTCCGTGGCAAGTTGAACGTGTTGGTGGAGTTCCCGCTGAGCAACCTCGACATGTCTCCGTACGCGGCCGCGCGAGGGCCCGCGCCCGTCTACAACCTCTACGCAGTCAGCAACCACTCGGGTATGTCACACCCACACACCTCATACACTACTCAGTGCACCTCGACATGTCTCCCTACGAGGCCCGCGCCCGTCTACAACCTCTACGCAGTCAGCAACCACTCGGGTATGTCACACCCACACACCTCATACACTACTCAGTGCACCTCGACATGTCTCCCTACGAGGCCCGCGCCCGTCTACAACCTCTACGCAGTCAGCAACCACTCGGGTATGTCACACCCACACACCTCATACACTACTCAGTGCACCTCGACATGTCTCCCTACGAGGCCCGCGCCCGTCTACAACCTCTACGCAGTCAGCAACCACTCGGGTATGTCACACCCACACACCTCATACACTACTCAGTGCACCTCGACATGTCTCCCTACGAGGCCCGCGCCCGTCTACAACCTCTACGCAGTCAGCAACCACTCGGGTATGTCACACCCACACACCTCATACACTCTACTCAGCGCCTTATGATCGAAGCGTGATAGTTTATAACCTGTAGCCTACCTGGATCAATGGATTATCTAACTGCACTGCACGGTTGGCGCGGTGACTGGAAACTTGCGCGTCGTGACGCGGGTACGATTCCCGCACGGTGCAACTTTAAGTGTAATCCACAGATTGTAGTTTCGTGTCTGTGTTTGTATGTGAACTTTATGTTTGTAGACGTACACCTATACTGGAGGAAATCCTAGTGTATGGCAACATTACATTAAAAAAAAAAACTTGAAGACAATTATTCAACTTGGTCCAGTAGTTGTTGAGATCGTATTCATTAAATGTTACAGGGTGTACATCTGTGTACACAGACTAATACACACACGGAATATAGAATACAATGGAAGTAGCTTGAAACAATATTTCTGCCAGAACCGGTGTCGCCAAACTAATACATTTATAATTTACTCATACTATAAATCGGAAGTTACAATTGGTTAGAAAAAAAATGGGGCGTAAACGAAATGCAAACAAAATGTCATACGATATGCAACTTTAAAATCACTGAAATAAAAATCAAAATTAAAAATTATATTTTGGACTACCAAGTACCGCTATTCGTCGCTAGATGGCGTTTAACAATGCCATCTAGCGACGAAAAGTGGTACTTGGTTTGAACTTTAACGTCGTAAGAATAAAGGTGATATTTGAATGGCTTATCACTGGCTCGAATGCGGGTCTCTACTCAGATAGTGATGTAGCCTAATTCGATAAAAATAATATCGATAATATGAAAATGTGTTTTAAATATAATGTGAAAAAAATATTGACTGCGATAGTGTGACAGTATTAAAATAATAAAATTAATATGTCGTTGATAACTTTTTAAACGCAACAAAAAAGGGTAAGTATTTATTTGCATGTAAATCAAAAACCATTTTGTTCGTATTTTTTATTAGTTTTTCCAAAAAAAAAAATTTATTTCACATAGGCAATATAAGTAACAACTATTACATAATTTTTTACAAACTTTATATAGATAATGTGATAAGGATGACGGTGCTGATCTGCTCCGTGAAGTGAAGGTTGCTTCCAATCACGTCGGGGTCACCACTAAAATAATAATAAAAAAATAATCTAAATAAATGTTACATTACACTTGCATCGATATTAATCGATAAATATGTAACTTGACCACATCACTATTTGAGTAGCGTAGAACTGGCGAGAATGTTCTATTGAATGGAATAAATCCAAAATAAACTTTATCTTGAAGGCGTAAGGTTAATTTTGACTAACCGTTTTAGTTAATAATATTATTTTAATAACCGTTTTTGTAAATTGAAATAAAATAAGATTTTAACAAGAAAACAATGAAAATTGTACTTACCGATGATACGAAACACCTCCATTTTTACGATTTTTCGGCTGCTATCATTTTTACACGCCAAAACGGAACAAAACGGCATAGTTGAGGAAATATGTATTTGTCACCAGACTAGCAACTAGACGCCATGTTCGAACGAGACTGAACTCGAATTTGCCTCGAGTAAGCTGTACACTGCTCAGTTGTGGCACGCGTGGCACGCCTACTTGCTACTTCCATTGTATTCTATATTCCGTGAATACACAGACAAATATTTTGGTGTTTACAATTTTAATAGTTTTTGTTTTCGTGTTATTAATACAACATCAGCCTCGAGCAGTTGATTACAACTATTGTTACATGAAACAAACATTTAATTCCTTACTTCTATGACAATAAATTTCTTTTTTTTACCATCACCTGTCTTCATTTTGGATCCGGATCTGAAAGTTATTGTCATTGGGGGAGGACTGTAGGAGGATTGAGGAGGCAATAGACATTACGTAGCTGATTTATATGCGTGATGATTATAATATGTAAATAATAACATAACATCACGCCTTTTATCCCCGAAGGAAAAGGCAACGGTGTACACTGTAGTGACAGCGCTTAATGCCACTGTACAATGTAACACCCACTTTTCACTATTTATGTTACGAGTCCCATGTAATAGGTGAGCCTATTGCCATATACCGCGCACAATTCCAGACTCCGTGCTAATACTAACACTAAAAAAAACCCAATAATACTTTGTCCGACCCGGGAATCGAACCCGACTTACTCGGCCAACGGGGTAATAAATAATAATAATATTGTATGTCTGTACGTTCCAGGTACGACGTACTCGGGTCACTACACTGCGTACTGTAAACATCCGTACACTGGCGAGTGGCACGAGTATAATGACTCACGGTATGTATACTGTATTACTTTAATCATATATTACAGTGAAACCTGGTTAAGTGAGACATCAAGGGACCTGCAATGTCGTTTCACTTATAGAGGTATTCCACTTACCAAGTGTCTCAGATATACAGGTATAAATAAATATCTGTCTCATTTACAGAGGGTTCCATTAATAGAGGTGGACTTGGAATTACGTATGGAATTTGTGGGTAGAATAAGAATGACTAAATAAGCTATGTTATCTCAGTTACAGAGGTTAATGCATATAAAATTTACTCGCTGTCTCAGTTATAGAGGTAACTATGATGATAAATCGAAAGAACAAATCCCAGATATAGAGGTTTACCTCGTTCCACTAACAGAGGTAATTAAGTGCCAAAGTGTTGGGACCTCAGCATGAGTTCCAGTTATGGAGGTTTCTCACTTATCCAGGTCCCACTTAACCAAGTTTCACTGTATTTCACTGACGGTTAAAGATGGCCGACTTTTCGCATTAATACTGAGCAAATACTGGGTTTTTGGATGAATACTCGAGTAAGAAGTCTTTATAAACTATGTTTAGAGGAACTTCAAATCCCTCTTTATTTGAAGTGTTAGTTAATATACTAAAACCTTGTTTTTATAATAACTATCGTGAGACATACTAAATTAACTAAAAATCGCGGGTTACTCACGTGAGTATACTGAGAAAAGCTCTACTAGTTTCGAACCAAAAAGAGGTTCTTCCTCATGAGCAGCCTGCGCGGTCGCGGCGAACTATAACCTTTTCCAAACTGTAAGTAACTCCGCATCAATATAGGCTCAGCTTATCGCGAGATAATAGCGTACAAACATACATATACACAGGTCAAAACTGGTCAAAGTCAGTTAAAAACTCAGAATTCATTCACTCGGTATATATCAATTTCGAGTATTTATCTGAATAATTGCCCATCTATACGAACAATGCATAGATTACAATGCGCGACAGTATCAATGAGACTATAAAAATATTTTTTTTAAAAGAGTACCTTACGATGAAGCTTTTTGCTCGTTATTTACATAACGTCAGGAGGTCTACTCCGGTTTTCGAATGCGAAGTTTCGTTTGATTTGCGGCGGCAAACAACGTTTTCGGAACCATAGACATCTTTCGTGAACGAATGAAGTGAAGATAAATAAATGGGCAATAAGTAGGTTTAGATTCGAAATTAAATATAAAATTTTATTTTAAGTAATTATATTACTAAAATCATAATGCCATGGCTTAGCACACATAATCATCAAGAAAATCATGAATAATCTTTTAATATTAACGTTTAAGATGGAAAATCTTAAGCAGGATAAGAACCTCCTTTCAAAAATTTATTATACGACCAAGTTAAAAAGTTTTAGAATGTTTTTTTTTGTCATTTATTGACATTTATGTATAAAATAATGACAACCAAATTTATTCGTATTATATTAGTACAGTCAGTTTAAAAATTATAAATGTCTACATGAGAATTTGAAGAGACTAAATTATTTCGTGTTATGATGATTAACAATATATTTTTGAAAAAAATTATCTTATCTATAAATGTTGGTATAGTAATAGATGTGAAAGAATAGCGAAAATATATACTAGCAATACTTAAGTTAATTTTTCTAGCGGTATTATTAGTTTTAAAATAAAACATTACTCATTAAACATTTATGTTCAATACATAAGTTATTCAAATAAGTATTTGATTAACCTAAATGTTACTAACTCTCATAGACATATAAAATATATAGGTTCGTGTTAACGAACTATTTGAGCTGACTGTACATTGATTTTATATCGTCATTTAAGTAGTTCTTTTGGTGCCCTACGTGTTGCCCACACAAAGAAACCGTGACAAAACGAAGACTTATAATTACTTTCCTTCATTTTTCAATAAATTTAACCCAAACGAAAATCAAACGATAACTATTTTGGTTTCGTTGAAATGACATTAAACGTCCGAAGAATAATCTGTCAAACTCGAATTTTCGTTCGTGCGGATTGTACAATTAGAGTAGGGTTCCGAAAATATCGATGTCAAACAGTACATCTCATACTAATTTCTGGCTCATTTCATTCCTTTTTCGTTCGTAATAAATGCCATTGTGGTAGGTAATGTTCGAAGTTTCGTCCGAAACTTCGTTTTTCGTCGAATCAGAGTAGACCTACAGGCCTTTTATCCTCGAAGGCAAGGCAAGGCAGAGGTGTACATTATGCTAATGCACAATGTAACGCCGACTTTTCATTATTTATGTTATGTGTCCCATGTAATAGGGGGTGAGCCTATTGCCATATACCGGGCACAATTCCAGACTCCGTGCTACTACTTCTGAGATTTTTCTCTTTCTTCTCCATTCGAAAATACAGTCGACGGACGGACGGACATTTAAATTTTTATGATTAATTGAAATAAATACTTTAACTTTGACGTGATTTTGGTACCTTCTGACGTTATGCTGGATTCTAAGACTTATGCAAAGGTTGTATAAAATCTTTAAAGAAAGATTAATGTCTATCACGTCTAGATTTTATAAATGTAATGAAAACCACTGAATTATAAATTACAAAACATAACCAACCGACATTAATTCTTCTAAAAAAACACACGCGTCACAATGGCAGTGACATCTCTTTATAATATTTAAGATAAAGCGGCCAATTCAAAAATGATAATTGAGAACAGAATATTAATAAAGAAAATATAAAGCAGTGATTTTCTTTACATAATATGTTGACAAAGTTCTAGATTTTCGTAATTACTAACATTTTCTATTCGACTAAAACTATTTCTAATACGTGCATTGCATTTGACACTTGTCATGTTCCCTTCATTACACTTTGGATCGTCTGTGTACGTCGTTTTTTCAAACGGTCAAGTATTGAAAGAAATAGTTTTTATAGTTAATGGTTTTTTATTTTATGGTTCAAATGTATACTAATACTAAATTCCAACGTTTACAGGGTGTCCCCAATAAACAGTCGCAACGTGGTGTCCTCAGAAGCGTACGTCTTGTTCTACGAGTTGGCGCGACACACGTAGCACCCCTTACCCCCTCCCCTTACCCCTCTATACCCCCTTACCCCCTCACACTACTCAGACGCCGCCAGAATTACCTGCCGGCCGGTATGACTCAAGAACTAAATTGAATTATTTGGACTAGAATCTGATGAAGCGATTTCAAGCCACATAAGACGTCTGCTGAACATAGATCTCTTAATTTTTGGTGATCCCCTAATAGTTTTTCAAGCTTGGGGATTGATGATAATCCCTGTTTTAAGAAGGAAGTGTTTTTTCCGTTTTGGACTTATTCCAGCTAACGATGGTGATCATCGAAACAATAACATGATTTTAATTTCTTAAAATCAATTGAGTGAGTATCATGTTCTTCGGATGTATATAATTTGGTCTTAAAATCACTTTATCTCGTTCTAAAATTGTCTAATGCTAATACTCAGTCCATTTTTATAAAAATTCTGACGATGAAAAAGGACGAAACTATGTCGAAATATCGTCGTCTCTTTCACACACCAAAATATAAGTCTATAGTTAAAAGAAATGCCTTATAAATATAATTTTAAACAAATGCTTAAAGGAATGAATAGTACAAAACGCAATAGTAACTTTAGGCTGTATATAGATAGCCGAATTAACTGAAAACTAATTTAATTATCCACTCATAAGGTTGATTTTTCTGTGAGAGTTGTAATTGAATTCATGTGTGGTAATTTAATAGTCAATAATTTCCGGAATGAATAAAAATAACGTCAAACTCCTTTTTTATAGTATCCTAAAACCAGTTCCTAAGAAAAAAAATAGTTATAACGCTTTCTGGAAACTGTATCAAAATCGGTACAGCCAGTCGCGGGATAATCATGGACAAACATAAATTTTTTGAGGTAACATACAATGGTATGCCCATGTTCACATCGCGGAGAATCTAACGGGTAACCGGGGCTCCGGCTCGACGTGCAGGAGAAGGAACGGGGTGGTTTTTAGTCAGTAAGAGTCTGACACTCCCTCCCGCCTCACACTGGCGGGAGAAGTCATGCGATGATTTTCCCCTCTTAAAAAAAAATGCCCATGTTCACTCTCTTAAATTTTAAGTGACATTTTGTTTGTCACCAACGTCGACACCTAGGCGTACAAGTAAGATGTTAGTGTAGGTGATCCCTCAGACGGTAATTAATTCGAAACTGTTGATGAGAACAGCCATTATTATCGAATTAATAATATAATATATCGCCCACAAATTCAATTACAGCTTGTATAACAACTTTAAAGTAATTTCAGTCTTTATTGCTTTAGTATTAAAGTTTATTTTCCGTCATACCGGCCGACAATAGCTATTTATATAGGACTCAAATTGTACAAGTATTTACAATGAGGTAAGAAGATAAAATTATGGACAAGATTTCGTTTCTATATAGAAAATAGTGATTTATACGGCATGTCAAGCTATACTATTTAATGTATGAGCTGAATAGTTTGTTTGTTTGAACGCGTTAATCTCCAGAACTGCTGGTTCGAATTGAATCATTCATTTTGTGTCGGAGAGTCCATTTATCGAGATACGCTATAGGCTATAGAATATCACGATTGAATCAATAGGAGCTGAGGCGAGAACACCAAAATTGAGAAAAAGTATAGCTTGATTTGCCTTCCCTAGAACAGATTTCTGGAATTTGTAGTGATGCCAATATTTGAATCAGCTGTACAGAATTACAAAATAGAACATTTTTATATAGACAAAAATACTAGAGACAGTGACATTTTATAATTACTTTTCAACTGTTGTCACTACAAAGCCTGAAAATAATTCTACAACATCACATACATGTATTTTCAAAATGTACTTTTGAGTTTACAAAGAAATATAGACCCTATTTACACACTACATGTAAAATATCTTCTTACTTCCTCTATAAGTAACGCCATCTAGTTGTCGAAACTTCAATTAAATGCATAATTAAATAGTAATACTTATCTCGTTTATAGATTTTATAAGGAATTCATATTTACTTAATCATTTACTATTGTAGAATACGGCAACAGATGCTTGAAATAGAATTTTTTGCATAATTTGATTGTTTCCCTAACTAGATGGCGTTTTTAAAAATGATGACAAACCCAGTCACTAGATGGTGTTGTTACAAACAAATCTGTTGTGTTTTGAAACTTGGTCAATGCAATAAATCGCTAGTGGTTGCGTATGTCTTGGTATGTTTGGTCCCATTTGATATAAAAAATGCTTAAAATAGATGTTGTGTTTAGGTAAAATTTGATCAAAAAGTTCTTTTGTCCTTGACAATACATATAAAATAAAGAAAATTGTTACGAAAATCGTCATATTACTAAATTTCAATAATCATGACTAGAGTTTCAACCAATAATTCATTTTTCTAAACCTCTATACTTATAAAAATTTTAGTTTTAATTAAACAAGTGTACTAAGACATACTCAACGACTAGTATTAGTTATGAACATATTAGATAGAATACGTTTAATTATTTAATAATATTGTATTTTATTAATTTATTACTCTCTCGGACGGTGATGTGGCGTGGTTACAGTTTGGTCTGACTCTTAAAAATGTCAATTATTTAATAAATATAGTTCTGGGTTTAATTTAACCGATCTAAATTCAAAATCGTTAGCTAGATTTTCCATTTTTTGTCAAAACTTTATTACATTCTAGTTAAAACTGTACCATATCTTTTTACCAATTTAACTAGCGCATCGTATGTCGCGCAACACTACTCATGAGGTCCTCGTCAAACAATTATATGAAAATGAATAAGCTGTTAAACATAAAAAAATATTTAACTTATTGTTTCTTATGTGGTTAGGCATTCTTAACCATTTTAGTAGAAAAAAACTACAAGACCTTCAAACCTTCAAGAAAAGAGCGTATTCCTTTTTAAATATTTATTAGGCCGACAACGCAGCTGTGACTCCTCTGGTGTTGCGAGTGTCCATGGGCGGCGCTGATCGCTTACCATCAGGTGATCCGTCTGCTCGTTTGTCTCCTATTCCATAAAAAAAGATACTTTATCAAAACTACAAAAACTCTACAAAACTAGTCTCAGTAAGCTGTATTGTTTACGAAATTAAAACCTTATCAAACAGTGAGATTATTATTTCTATAACTTTCTCGATACTTTGTTATTCTATCTTATTTGGGTTTGGTTGAGTGTAACCACGTCACTCCACCGTCCAATCGTTGCCATTTGTCACATCCCTCCCCTCATAATTTATTTACTAAACATAAATACACTTATTATTATTGTTAATTATAATTGTTTTTTTTTTTCTAATTTTTATAGTTAGCGCTTTTTCGAAAGTCAGTGTGATTGTAAAATAGATATTATGCATTTTATTATCAAGTAAAAAATGTACGGTCCGATTGCCTGTCAACAGTTCATCCACGGTTAAAAGTTAACCAATAAACTGCATTTTTTAATTTGAAAATATTTAGTTTTTTAAACCAAGTTTCGTTTAAAATGTAATTTAAATGATTAGTCATGGTTTAGTCTCGTGCAGTAAGATTTTTTTTATGTTATTTTTGGAAATTGTTTACAGGCAATGGGACATTAAAATAGAGTTCCTGTATATCAACCATTAATAACAAACAATCATGTTTCATGTCAAACGTATGGCATTTTTGTTTTTATTTATTATTAAAATTGATAGCGGCGTGCACGTGCGTCGTGGTCGGCTGTCGGGCGACAACTGACCAAGTCGGGCGTTACTTGTCGTGTCTGTATTTATGTTACCTACTCTCGGTTTTTGGAAATGTTAGATTTAATATTATTTTGGTTGTTTTAGGTTTTTATTTACCTAATTAATATTAGATTTGACAGTTATCTTCAGTAAACCGAGTGTAAGTGCTTTAGTAATATACAAATTGCCATTTGAATGATAATTATGGTACAAAAATAAAGTAAAATCAAAATATTTAAGGTCGATGACTTGATTGTGATGGAGCGTGAGTTTGTATTTTTATTTTATATATTTGTATGTGAATGGTACAATATTTATGTGAAATTATATGATTTGCTACAATTATTGAGTATCTTTTGAAACCAAACTGAAAATTTCAGATAATCTACTTTTTAGCCTTGAATTTCTAATATAAACGTTCATTTCTATGAACAATAAAGTACAATGTGCTTTGGAGATTTAGTTTTTAGTAACCATGCTTAGTTGATTGTCAATTCTCGCGATTTTTATGAAATACATAGTAAAAAAATAGGTTTTATACGAGTTTTTTTATATGACTATCATAAATTAAGTACTGCTTATTATTTCCTATTATATAATTTTATATAAATATTGTACCGTAACATTTTTATATATAAAATAATACTTCAAACAGCAATACGGCGGATTAGCATAGTGTGTTCAAAATATATAAATAAATAAATAATATAATATATATATGTATATGAATTGTTAACGCTTGTCTCGATATACGGAACCGCTGGGATTTTGGAAAATAAATAAACGTGGTTTTTGTAATTTAATAAAAGATCCCTAAATCTTTATTCTTAGATACATATTCAGAGGTTTACATGTCCTTATAGACAAGAGAAAGAGATAACGCTACACGTTTTGTATGACTGCGTCTCTTTCTAACATTTTTGGGAAATTATATAATTTTTATTAATCATGACTAAAGGTGAATGGTTAACTGCCGTACTCAGACATTGAAGGATTACTTGAACTATCTCTCAGTAACGATTTTGTTCTAAAAACAATTGCTAAAGACTGAGTTAAGTAAACATTAACTCGTCGAGTACCGTCTTTGTAGACACAATTATAGAACAATAGGTTGCGGTCACCGGTGACCGCTTGGTGTTTGACAGTTTAAAGACTTGAGTACGACGGCAAGGAACCTATTCACTCTTGATTTTTTTTACTACTTTCATCATTTGATAAAGTCACTAGGTAGACAGGCGACCTAAGGCGACCTGATGAAGGTCTGCGACAGTCGCTGTATACAGGTCGCTTCCAACCCCTCGATGTGTAGTAATTGGGAGAGGACTGTGGGAAACCGTGGACAGTACGTAGCTGATATGTACATGTTGATGGCTCACGTCTGTTGTATATAACACTGTATTAGTATATTCTATATTGTATATAAGAATATGATCACTCCCGTCCATAATATTGTAGCATAGCTTGAAGCACCGAAGTTTTTTTTTGTGATGTCTAGTCACCTTCTCCTCCTTATATTGGAATATAATATCGTATGCTTTCAATAACAACATTATTGCTTCTTCACACTTTGTCATACCACCACAACCTCCCAAGACCGCTGCAACTCCTGTGTTACCAGGATGTACAGTAGATACAACCATGCATGCACTGGAACAATGAAGTCCAACGTCCCAGGGACATGAACTGTTCCCATTTTGTAATTGGGTGGCGTAGATTAATATATCGGGTTCCTTATCATATCTATTTTAACTTGGCTATCACGATGACGAAATATATTTCACTGCCGTACTCAACTTAACATCACGCCTCTTATCCCCGAAGGGATAGACTGAGGTGCACAGTACTACACTTAATGCCATTGTATAATGTAGAATCATTGAATGCGGACTTACCCAGTTGTTTTCGGAACTTAATCGTAACTAAAGAATAGTTTAAATCATTCAATGTATCCGAGTACGGCGATAAGTCTTTTAGTAATAATATAAATTATACCGCTGTTTTTACACATTTTTTGTATTATTTTCTCTAGTCAAACATTAGTTTTACAACAGATTTGTATGTTGTGTACAACAGACCTGAGCTATTTATTGCGCTCACGAGATGACGCTACGACACGCTCACGACAGGATATTAGCAAATATTCGATTGGATTATAGACCTGTAGTTATACCAGCGCCACTAACGGCGCGAAAATCCTTTTTTTTAACTTTACAATAATAAAATGTTTCTTTTTTTCATGTTTGTCGGTGTTTTTTTTTACATTTTTGTCCGTTTTTCCAATATGGGTGGTGGGTCGGGGCAGAAACTTTAATGCATTGTAATTTAACCTGTAAATATGTATCTGAGAGAAGGGGAAGTGACGTTTATCTATTTTTACAAAATATCTAACTTAGTTATAATGCCGATAGTTAAGTATTGCTTACAAGTCGCGTTCACATCCGCCGCAAGTAGTCAACGGTTAGTGTAAAAATATTAGCTAATTATAAGCCTTATGTCGGCATTCGGCCATCGAGTTATAAGGCCGAATTCAGCCAATTATAAAGCCCAGTTCGGCCTTATAATTCAGCGATGTAAACGCGACTGGCAGAGTGGTTGTTTTTTTTTGTATAATTTTATCAATTGTTATATTGTTTTAACTCGAATGTTCGCGAGGGAATCTTGTTTTTAACCAAAGATTTGCTAAATCGTAGTGTTTCTGTATTAATGATAAATAAAAATAATTTATTGTAATAATTATTTATAAATTGTAAAATCGTCGGCGCTCGTCGACTATTTATGTAAAAATACGTAACAGATTACTATTATATAAATATATATTTAAATGAGTAAATTATTATGAACGTGTTTTATTTTATTATACTTATACTCTCCTAGACTAATGCAGGATATACAGTATGCACCTTTTTGGAGGGCGGAAAATCATCCAATGACCTCCCGTCTGGGGGAGGGACTGTCAGACTCTTACTGACTAAAAACCACCCCGTTCCTACTCCTGCCCTTCGAGTCGGAGCCCCGGCCACCCGTTAAGCCCTCCGCGGCTTCGTACAGTACTACGCACCTTACGATTTAAGTGTGCGGTTCTATACTCGGAATTTTAATTCGATTCCAGATTTGACAATTTCAGTGTTGCAACGTTATGACAAGTACTAAATAGTGACGTTGCGAAATTATTCGATATGGAAATGCAATATTTCTGGATCGATTCTTCTTGTTTATAATTTTACTCTTGTAAACTAAGTATATCAGGAAATTAAATATTTCTGAACCGATAATTTAGTTTTGACGATTAATTAACGATCTGACACTTTTCTTTTATAATTGTGTGTGAAATAAATAAAAAAATGTAATCATGAAGGAACATGACAAATAAAACAGATAGATGTATTATGGTAATAAGTTATTTTATAAATTGTCGCCGTCATAGCTATCGCTATCCTGTCACTGTAACATTTATTATAAAACACACACACTGATTGTTTATCGATTTTTGTGTTCATCACTACACTATTATATGTGGTATCATTATTTCACAAAATGAAAGTAGCTATTGTCAAATCTGGAATCTAATTAAAATTCTGACTATAATTTAAGGCATTGGCTGCCAATAAAAAACTATTGAAGGCAAATCCTCCGCTAATGTCGGTCACCAGTGACTGCCATGGCGTTTAACGTGTTAACTAAGGTGTATAGGGTGTATAGAGCGCATAAGGTCCTGCCCGCACTGTGGTTAAACCGCAACGATTTTAAAAAATAATCCAATACGACCAGTGCCGCACTTGCATCACGCAACTGACGATGCCCAACTCAACTGTCTTCATTACCTTCAATAAGGTTCAAATTGCTAAATCAAAGCTTACTTCAAATCTACCCGCCAGCAGATTACCTACCACATAACATGCAACTTAAAAAATAATTCATCCAACATATAACATAACATCACGCCATTTATCCCCGAAGGAGTAGGCAGAGGTGCACACAGAAGTCACATCCACTTTTGCCTATTTATGTTATGAGTCCCATGTAATAGAGGATGAGCTTATTGCCATATACCGGGCACAATTCCAGACTGCTAATACTGAGATTTTTTAAAAAAAAATCCAGTAGGTAATACTTTGCCTGGCCCAGGTATCGAACCGGAGACCCCTTGCCCGGCACTCGCACTTGCGACCACTCTGCCACCGATGTCCAAATATGTCAATATCTTGAGACATCTATAAGGAAATAAACATGTGAATCGTTTATCAATCGCTCGATAACTTCACCTTGTAGGTACCACCGCTAATAGGTACTTATTACAATACTAACTTATGCTACCGGCTTCTCCCGCGTTCCCGTGGGTTAAAACTAGCCTTTGTGTTATTCCAGACCATAATCTACCCCTGTTCCAAATTTCATACCGATCGCTTCAGCCGTTTTGACGTGAATTATAATATTAGTAAGTACGACAAATACTTGCCTATTGTAAAATAGAAAGATTCGGTTCCTTGTGTATTTGTATTGCATACGCTCTGTAAGTACTGGACCGATTTGGAAAATTCTTTTACCAATTTTTAGTTTTTAGTTAGGGGCCATTCAGTTATTACGTAAGCACCATGGGGGGTCTCTGTTTTGCTTATTTTTGATGATATGGGGGGTAGAGGAGTCTAGATGATGATTACGTCATCAGTAGTTATTTAAGTACTTTTTACACGAATGGCAACCCTCATATTGAAATTATAAATTACAAGCAAAGACCGACAAAGAACTAGACATTACCTATGGTATCTAAGAGAATACTAAAATTACAATGTAAAAAAGATATAATTTAAAATGTTTACGTAAGCAAACAGGGAGGGGGTAAGATCTTTGCTTACTTTAGCTGACAAGGGGGGTGGGTAAAAAATTGTAAAAAATCTGCTTACGTAATATTTGAACGGCCCCTTACAATATCTCGATATGACTACAGGACAGAGACCAGCTCAAAAGAAATTCTAAATTCCACGCAGGCGAAGCCGGAAGCGGTATTAAGCAAGTTAAATATAATATTAGGTACACAATACTATGTTTAATAATATAGATAGTAGATAGTGTATCGTCTAGACATGACAAAATAATTACCTAATGCTAAAAATAGAATTTGTAGATAATTATCTCGAAACAACTTTATAAACATTATGTGGAAAGAGGTATCCAAAGTTTGTAATCTCGGCTTTAGAGAGACCTACAGTGAGTATATTTTCTTCGAAATAACTTTATTTACGTGAAACAACAAGAAGTGACATCTATACCTCTATACCTGAGTAGTGTACTTACCTGAAACCAATATTTCATTAAATACTCGTGAACAAAAACTTACCAATATAACCAAACTTCGTCAACGCCCGGAAAAAACAAGTATTTATATTTTCCACTTACATGGCGAAATAAAATTAAAATTATTACGAATAGAAAAATCTTGAATAAATGTATGACTGTCCACATTTTGTCAAATATCCCGCCAAATCACTGAAGACGCATATGACAGTTCAGTATGTTGCCATACGGTAAAAAATAGAACACACACTTACACCATCTAATAGAATCATTGTTATTTTAAAGAATGAGGCAAATAACTTGATGGAAACTTATTATTTATTACAAAAATGTTGATTTCAAGGCTTACAAAAATATAACTTCTATTTTTCACCATCAAAATGTTGCTATACCACGGAAAAAAGTTAACAACCCAACAATAACACGAGCGGGAGTCAGACAGTCAGATGCACGCAAATTGCAAATGGCGTCCATCTGACGGATGATTGCTCGCGTCAAAATGCATCCGCGATGTTGCAAAAACGCGTAAAAAGATATATTTTATCGCGAAACTAACTACATTTACACAAACAAACGGTAAGTAGTGTGATAAATCAGTGTATTGTTGTTACGTAATGCATTTTGTTATTGTTAACGCTTCCATAGTCCATCGGCTGTCTCTTTCGTTTGTTATGATTCGTTCCTCATCATTATTTACAATCGGCGACGTATATGCATCTCTTTCGGTACCACAGTTTTCTTGCAATGGGTTTTTCATTTTTAAGTGTCGGAGCGAGACCGCGCAGGGCAACGGGGGCCCGACGGAAAAATATGAACAAAATTTTGTGCTCTTAAAAATTATTGATTTTCCATCGTAAAAAATAAGAGACGAGTCGCTAATTGCATACGTGATGTGAACGAGGTCCGGCCTCATAACTGTGAGTATTATGTCTATTTTCGTAGTTTTCCCTTAATCGAAGGTTGTGAAAAGTCACATTTTTTCAGTAAAATGATCATCGACCATATTGTCGTGTTACTGTAGTGACTAGTTATTGCGCGCCGTGCGTCGCGTTCAGTGAGATTGTTTAAATATTGATTTTTTTTTATTTGGACTATTTGCATGTGTGCGCCGAGAATGTTTATAACTTTAGTTGGGGCCTGCTATATGGTACTATTTTGGGAACGGCCAAATGTTGGCTTTGTACTCGGGAGCACCATTGTAGAGCTCGCGTTTAGACCGCACGGAAACTGTAAAACTCCCGACATTCGGTAAGTGATTTGAAAAAACCTTGTGATTATTTGCGCTTAGTTTTTTTATCGGTCATAACACGGGCTAATGTTTACCGCTCAGTTTAACGTAAAATGCCGATAAGATATTAAATAACATAGTTTTTGAGGCCTATTTTTTTCAATAAAATAGTACAGGAAAATGTGTTGCGATAACAAGCAATAGTTATTTAGTGACTGTGTGAATCATAGAGCTGTGAACTGATTAAATATATTTTTACGAAAAAAATCAGTTTATTTCTGATTTTTGGACCCAAACAACGTGTGTCGCGTTTTTTTTTTAAATAGAGTCCGCGCAGGCTAAGACACCACACATGATTGCTTACGATTCCGATAAGTTCCAGCCAATCGTTATCAACATACGTGAGTGTAAATAAATAGAATATTTCGACCAGTGCGTGTGAAAACGAGGAAAAATATCAGAAAAATTGATAAGAAACTGTTTCGATGTAATCCGATGTTTTTATCTAGAGGTTAGTCATTTAAGGTATTCTTTACTTAATCGCGCCCACTAAGTCTTTATGTGGCCGACCTTAGGACCGACCATTTGCAAAAAAAGAGAAAAAAATTGCTTGCAGAGTTCCCAAAAAATATTTGGTATGTGCTTTTTTCTTTATTAAACACAAGTCTACATTTTAGACCTTGTAATTTTGTATTTTTCAAATCATCGTTATTTGTCCAGCAATTTTGTCTAATAAGACACCAATTGTTATATTTTACAAGGTCCTTTAAAAGAGATCGTTTACGAAAATACGAACCTTTAAAAAAATATTATCCAACTATTTCATATCTATGTTTGATGCCCATAGATTATACCATCTTTACCTATTTCTATCTATGTGCCCTACTTAGATATGTACTTGTATTAAGTGTTCTAGCCTGATAAACGTCATCAAAACACGTTTTATTCAAGCACCAACTATTTTAGAACTCAATTAGTAGGTACTTAGGAATGGAAATAGGGTTATTTCCTATAATAAAAAAAAAACATGAATTATTTCTACTAATAGCTGAATGAGAATTATTAAAAAGTATTGATAATATTTTTTGACCAATTTTATTATGACTCTGTTTTTGATACTTACCGATTTCGAAAAAAAACTACTGAATTGGACCAATTGGACTAGTTGTTAACCTGAAAGTTGCTATGTAATATTTTTTATGGAATAAGAGGTAAACGAGCAGACGTATCACCTGATGGTAAGCGATCAGCGCCGCTTATGGACACCCGCAAGACCAGAGGAGTCACAGGTGCGTTTCCGGCCTTTTAAAAAGGAATACGCTCTTTTCTTGAAGGTTTGAAGGTCGTATCGGTTTATGTCTATAGTGAACTAAAAGAGGTCACATCCATTGAGTAATATTTTGCACCTGTCTACCTTTACTTACGTAAACTGTGTCTTTCAAAGTCAAAGTCAAAATCTATTTCAATTACACCTCGAAGGCACTTTTGGACGTCAAGAAAAAATTTAAAAGTGAAGCTATTTGCTCATTCCTAGGTGTAGTTTCCTATGGAGAAGAATGAGCGAGAAACTCCACATGTTACTGTTTTTTTCTTTAATAAGGATCGTGTTATTGTCATTAATTCTATAGGATTTCTGTCAAAAACCCCATTAATAATTTCGACTGCTAATGTAGATAGATGCTAGCATATAAGGGTAACCGAATTAGCCATTTTTTCTTATTTGATTTTTAACTTTAGGACTCTGTAATGAAGTTGTTTAGTTAAATAGTTAGCAAAAACTCTCCGAATTGATGTGATAGTCTGTAATTTAAATTACATAAATTATTTCTGTGAAAATAATATACTATACAGACACTAATAATATGTATTATGTAGTCACAATAACGAATCTGTCCATGAATTAGTTTAATGTCTAAATTGGAATCGTCTCTAATAACCAAAACAGACAAAATATATTGCGACTTGCCGATAACTAGCGAAATTCACAACCAATTTAAATATTAAAATTAGGATCGATTTTTAACCTAACATACAATCCTTTGGTTTTGCGAATCGTCATAGGCATCGCCGATTGCGACCATCAGGTGATCCGTCTGCTCGTTTACCGACTTATCCCATAAAATTTGTAACATTTAATACCTGTCAAAAAACTAGATCGATCCGAAGAATTTTAGTTGAGAATCGGTTATTTATTTTGGGCTCCTCAACATCTTTGTTTACCCCGAAGTAATAATAATACTACACAAATAAGTATAATTTATGCCCCATAGGGTTAACGATCGTGTTACGTCATTCCGGAAAAGCCAAATGATATTGAATAGTGTTACTCGTATTAGTGTCCATTTGTAACACTAATATTTATTTATTGCAAAATGTATATACATAGTGGTATTATACTACTAGTACAGTGCATCACCCTGTTAGGGCGCAGCAATTTAACTTATAAATAATAACTAAATAATCATCTAGTATATTATGTACTTATTCTATTCATTATTAACTTAATTACTCACTATAAACTTATTACTATTAAAATTTCTTATCACATATATACCAATAAGATACAATTATATTATTTTATACATTATTTATTAGACATTTTAATTATAAACATTACAAATAATTTAAAGTAGCAACATTATTGAAATTGAGGAGAATTGAAATTATCACATTAAGTTAGGAACTATAATTACATATTAAAAATAAAATTAACTTAACTTAATAAAGTCATAATAGTTGTGCAAAATCTATTTTTTTTATAACGTGGCCTCACACTTAGATATTCTTCTGTCTTAGTTGTGTTTATAAACATATAATAAGTACTGCTAAGGAGTGGAATTCTTTGCCAGTCTGTGTTCCCTGAAGGGTATAACCTGGGTGTCTTCAAGGCCCGAGTGAATAGGTTGCTTATATATAGGTCGACGTGCTCCATCGTAGACCGCATCGCTTACCACCAGGCGAGATAGTGGTCAAATGTCGGACCATCAAATATACATATAAAAATATACATTTCAAAATGTATAATTATCTTAAACGGGGAGCAAACACTGTAGAAAATTATGGACGTCGAAGGAGCATTATTTTTTTCAAATCGGTCCAGCCGTTTCGAAATCTATTCATAGTAAATAACCAATATCTTTGTAATAAACTAGCTTCTGCCAGCGGCTTCGCCAACGCTGCCAAGATAAATAGTACCCTGTGTGCTACTCCAGACTATAATCTACTCCTGTTCCAAATTTCATCACGATACCTTCAGCCGTTCTCGCGTGAAGAGAAACAAACACAGACAGACACACATCCTCACAAACTGTCGCATTTATAACTAGCTGAGCCCGCGACTTCTTCCACGTGGAATAGTGATTCACAGCTCCTCCCCCATAGTTGATAGCACGATAATATGCAGCCTATATGTTGACCCGACCTGTTAGTAATATTCATGCAAATTGAAATAGTAGTGCAGTACTCTTTGAGATCATCACGGCCATACATACAGACAAACAGACAAAAATTCTAAAAACCATATTTTTGGTTTCGGTATCGACTGTAAATCACGCCCAAAAAAGCATTATTTAAAAAAATATTCGATGTACGGTTTTCACTTTTCTACGATTTTAATAAATGTATAGAAGATATAGATAGATATTATTATATCTTTATACATATATTATTATATCTCTATAATAAACCAGGTTGACTGTTAGAGAATGTCACTAGGCATTAATTCCACGATTGTTTAGTGTACAAGAAGTGCAAAATAAATAAATAAATAACATACTATATACCTACATATTATAATTGTCTCTACATAGTCTTATGCCTTCTTCCTAACTCTGAAACCGACATATTAAGTTTTCTAATCAATTCGCTTCCGGCAAAGCGCTGATGGCTGCTCTAGAGTGTGAAATGTGAGCCAGCAGACCACCACAGGTTGATGCCAATACGGAGCCGCGGAAGACTTAACGGGTTACCGGGGCTCCGGCTCGAAGTGCAGGAGTAGGAACGGGGTGATTTTTAGTCGGTAAGAGTCTGACACACCCTGTCGCCTCACCCGGGCGGGAGAAGTCATTGGATGATATTCCCCCCTCAAAAAAAAGCAAAAAAAGCTTACCATCAGGTTATCCGTTTGCTCGTTTACCTTCCATATCAAATACAATATTTTCACTCCAATTGGCAACCTACGAGGCAGCCTAAATATTTACCAGACCATTAAAAACAATATTCAAAAGTCCATACATATGATAGCTTGTATCACTTATGACGTAGGTCTGACGTCATTCGTATACGTATGTACCTGTTATCTAGTATTTACAGAAGTCTAATGACACTAATTGGGGACTAGGCTTTATTTTAGTGCTTCTACTTTTAGTTGGATAGATAGAACAAGAAAAGGATCAGTAACTTTTTTGTGTACGACGCTTAATTTAACTAAATCTTGCAACTTTGGACGCATAGAAAGGAGATTCACGTTTTTACCGTTCCTGTGGGAATTTAGGAAAATCTTCTCTTAGTGGCCTCCTATAATCCCAAAGAAAACCTATACGATCATAGAAAAATCTTACTATCTTTAAGTCTTTCATAAAATCGCTCTGTTGTGATATAGAATACAAGTACACTTTCACATTTAAACCACCTTTTTTGAGGGGGAAATTAAAAAACCAATGTCTTCTCTCGCCTTGGGTGAGACGAGAAAGAGTGTCAGACTCTTACTGACTAAACACCACCTCGTTGCTACTCCTGCTTCGAACTTGAGCGATAGGAAATTGCAAGGTCGTCTCACATCTCCGGATTTGGAATACCTATCGTAATCTTATTAGGTTCGGTTTTTAAAACCGGGAGAAACAGGTTCTGTTTAAATACTAAGATTGACACAATTAGATTAATTTATGCCTATTTCATCTTCTACAGCTATTTTGAGTTGTAATCTTATTTGCGTATAAAATATTAAACTAAAGATAAGCGTGATTTCGCAATCGGGCCTACATCCTGTTCATATGGACACGTTGAGGTTTTCGAGTTCCGA